CTAATACAATATGCTGCTAAATATTCCTCTTCTGGTTCGGTTCTTTCTTTTTTAAGTTTATTTGTAACAAGTGCTGGGATAAGTACTATTACTAGGTCACCAGCAATGGCAAGACCAATTGTTATCTTCTGTTTGAGTGTAAGCTTTTCTTTTTTCTCTATAAAATTTTCAGCCGCAAGTTGCAGTTTTTTCTCAACTTTAAAAGCCTCATCATGTGTTTTCTTGAAGTCGGTGAGAATATATTTATGAAGTTCCAATGTAAACTTACACACTTGGATACTCAGTCCTGCATCTTTAACCAAATTATCGAGATCTTTTTTAATATCTTCAAGACTAAGATATTTGTAGTTTTTGAGGATTTCTTGTATGTTTTGAATGACTAATCTATAGAAAGGCATAACCTTAGTGCAGTATATCTTTGCTGAGATAGTAGCTGAGTTACGAAGGTTTTTGAATTTACGCACAGATGAGGCATTTTCAAAATAGCAGCTGCGGAGAGAAGCGGTAGCGAATGTGATTGATTTTGCAGTAAGCTGAATACTATTATCAAGTTTTTCAAGTGTTTGATCTATGATATTGTTATTGGGATACCTTATGTAGGTAAAAAAAAAAAAGTGAATGATAGAGCTCTGATATGTTCTATTGAAGTTTTATCTAAAGATTTTGAAGATTATCGGTAATAATTATTATTAAGGTGGAAATAGAAGTTGTGAAACAAATCTACTCATTCATGACACTAATTTTTTATTGAGGTTGATAATTTAGGTTAAATTGTTAACTATTACATATTCTGCTGACACACTAATCATGAAGTTTTATCTAAAAATTTTGAAGATTATTGTGTAACAATTATTATTGGCAGAAATAAAAGTTGTGAAACAAATCTACTCATTCGTGATACTAATTTTTTATTGAGGTTGATAATTGATAATTTAGGTTAAATTGTTAACGTTAATGTTACTATTACATATTCTGCTGACACACTAATCACGAAGTTTTATCTAAAGATTTTGAAGATTATCAGTAATAATTATTATTAAGGCGGAAATAGAAGTTGTGAAACAAATTTACTCATTCGTGATACTAATTTTTTATTGAGATCGATAATTTAGGTTAAATTGTTAATATTAAT